CAAACAAAGTTCAGTAACCTCATAAAGCAGCACCAAATGACATGGATCTAATGAAATACAGTACCTATGGTAAGTATTTTACTATTGGCCTGAGATGTGTTTTAAATATACTTCATAGCTTCCACTTCACATGCCGCACTCCTCTGTTGAGTCAGGGTTTACTCTTGGATATTTCTTTGCCACCAGACATTAACCATAAGCCCATAAAACCGCACACATACAGACACACTTGTTAGTTTCTTCCACGCTCTGGTATCTCGCTATATGCATATCTGTAGCACCTTATTAGGCATCTGTTTACTCAAATGACAAGCATATTTGTCCACTATTCAGTTAAACACTGTGAAGGGAATGCAGGGAGAGATTGTTCTGGTGTCAAAGGGATAAAGAGAGTAGTGACGAGGCCTGAAAAATCTGGCTGCGACGGGTCAGGACAGGGAATTTCCACTCTTGTTAGGACACTACAAAAATGTGACAATCATTCCTTCCTGCGTCTGTGTTTCTTTTGAATGGTTAAAAACCTGTGAAATTTCCAGTCATTTAAAAAGAGGAACATTTTCGAATGGAAGCTGCCCGTTTACGCACATCCATCAGTGAGTGACAGCCTGCATTTCGTCAAACTGCTGCCATACATTAATCTTGGGTGCAGAGCGGTCTTGTGAGTTGTGATAACAAAAAGGTGCATGGTTAATGTAAATTTTCCATTTTATCAGTCTTGCTGATGAGTGTACAGCAGTGAGGGCGCTGGTTGATGAATTTCTTTTTAAAAGTCAGTTCCTGCAGCTTAGAACAGTGTACAACGCTTTGTATTTAAACCAAACCGTACTATAATGCAGCATTACATAAGGAGGTTGCTTTAGAAAGGTGGTAAAAGTGATACTTAGTAAAGCCATCAACAAATATAATTGCTTACCATTAAGAATACAATATACTGGAACACCCTCAGAGTCACATTGATTACTTGGAGGCAAATTATGACTGTTATTTTGTCAGATAATTGAGCCATTAGGAGAAAAAGAAAAAGGCAGAGCTTAGGCACCTTTTCTTATTACACTGCACAATCCTCTTTGGCTTGAGTCAATGTGCCAGTTTATTCAGATTTAAACCAAAAGTCATCCGTTATGAGCAGAAGAAAAAGAAAGAAAAGGATGACTAAAAGCAGAAATATGAGGCTGACACTTGAAATGAAGTAGTACAACACTCCCTGTTGACCGTAAGCACTTAGGTTACAGTGTGTGACCACCCGTACAGTCAGTTGAAAAACTTTCTTTACCTCCTGTAAATCCAGAATGTATTTTTTCATCATAGAAAACCACAAACAGATGTATGCAGTTTGTAGCCAGGCTGTTAAGAGGAGCTGTTCTGTGCATGCTGTACACCAGAGCAGTGGGCGGCGTCTGTGTTATCCTCCTTTGGTCTGTGGGAGAAAAAGAATTAGGAGCCACTTGAACCTTATAGTCATTAACCTACAAAGAAAAAAGCAGCAGGGACTAAAAAGTGAGAGAGAATAAGAAAATTAGAAATATGGAGATCACACCAGCACCAGCATTTAAAATGATATAATTTTGCACTGAAAGGAAGTCATTTCAGTGGAAGCACTGCGATCAATGTATCCATGTGAATTTTTCGACTTTGCATTGAACACTAGCAAGCCGTTTTGACAGTGCTGACTTTTGAGTGAACGGAGAGTTGGAGAGTCAAAAATGGAGGGAGCTTATAAGATGAAGGCATACTTTACTAATCCCTCTGGGGCAAATAGTTCTCAGACTATGGTGGTATACAAGCTGCCTATAGTGGTACACAAAGGAATATCTGAAATATTTGTCTTTAAATGAAATAAATTAATTTACAGATACTATAATTTTCTTTTACTGAAAATAGTTAAAGTATGAGATCACTAAAATGTAATTGTAACTGTTTTAATATCAGCCTGCATTTAGCTGACCGTGTTAACAAATTTGCTAACTGTCAGTTAGCTTGCTGACAGTTAGGAAGCTTGTTAACTTCTCTTTAGTAACTCTTGATTGAAAAAAATTTAAAATAAAAGGCACAGTAGGCTACATCTCCAACCCTACTACTGCCTATGTTAGGAAAAAATAAGGAACAAATGTGGGCTGTGCCACAACATTAATGCCTATGTGAGAGCTTTTGAGGCATCATTCATTATGTGTATTATTATCCCTTGACCCCTACATCCTATATGGGGGTATTTTGCCAATTGATTTGCTCTGCATGTCATGTGAACATAGATTTGTTTAACTATGATCTATTTTGTTGCCAAATAGCCGACACTTCACAATGCAGTCTCTATCTTCAGTCTTACAGACCATAAATCAACCGTCAGAGGCAATATTCTCCTATCATTCTGAGCTCACATATGGCTGCAGATAGAAAACAGAAATGAGTTTGACTTAAGCTGTCACAAAGACTCAGAGTTTGTTTTGCCACTTCCTGGAGTGACTGTATGGGAAATAGAAGAAGAGTTACTGTGCCGTAACATTTTATGCTCTTGTGCCCAAGAGAGCCTCTGAGGCGTCATTCATTATGTGATTAACCCTTGATCCCTACATCCTCACATCACTAATGTCGCATCTATCCCGTTAATTTGTTGGTATTTTGCCAATTGATTTGCACTGCGTGTCATATGAACATGGATTTTTTTCTTTAACTATGATTTATTTCGTTGCCAAAGGGACTCAGCGAAAAGAGCTGACAGTGCACAATCCTCTGCATCTTGTCTGAGACTGACAGAACAGAGCGCAACGGAAATATTCTCTTAGTATTCTCTGAGTTTACATGTGGCTGGCTGCAGATAGGGAACAGAAAATGAGTTTTACACAGTGACAAATGAGAAAAATTAAAGGATAATTGTACTCAGTTTGTTGTACTGACAAGAGCAAACATGTTAGCTGAATATAGCATTTTTGAGAAGTAAAATATTTTTGAAGACGTGTTTTATTGCATTTTCTTTGGCCTTGAAAACAGAACGAGGCACATCTTTTGAGTTCACTTTTGCTTTTATAACCTCAGGTCGGGTAGTTTTTCAGATGTGGACAAGCTATGATTTGAGATGCACCCATGCGCGCGCATACATCCCTTGGGAGTGAGGGGATTGCAGACATTGTGGTGCCTTGGTCACTGTAGTCCTCAAAGTGCCAGGGGACTTATCGATCTATCAGAGACCACGTTTTCACATGCTCACACTCTGTATGCAGTGTGTCACTGCCATGATTAACATATCTGAGAAAATAGTCATCCTGTATCAAAACAGATGCCTTCTTTCCAGACATTTTCCCTCTCTAGTGTTTTTATTTTTTTAACAACTCAGACAACATGGTAGGTCTAGATATGGGGAAATTGCCTTTTATATCTTGCTCTTACAGATCTGCGTGATGAAAGATATTACCATGCATGGACTTATATTTGAAAGCCTGAGTAGACTGTTGGTGAAATAAGTTTGGTATGATTTCTCTGTCAGAACTGGAAATTGGCCATCGAGCTTCAAAGAACCCTGGCTAGATTTCTCAGACTTATGTCTGAACACATCCCTGTGGATCACGCTCAGTGCATGTCTAAACCCCTGACAGACACGGAGCATTTGACACGACTTAAACTGAAATTACAATCTGGCACTGCAGGGAAAAGCTTGAGCTTTAAAGGATTAGAGGCCAACAGGGTGGGTTAGGAGCTCTTCCTTGCAAGAGTGGATGTATTTACAATGAAGATATCTCTGTAGCAACACATGTGTGAAATTCAACTACAGAGGAAGGCATGAATAATGAGTTGATAAATAGGTTCAAGACTGTAATCATAAGTAGGTCTAAGGCTGATACTTCAGAGTGTACAGTAGTTCGAAGACCAAAGTGTTGCTTTCTGTAATTGACTGCTCACTAAGCCCTGCCCCCCTCAGTTACTGTTCCTATGCCTGTCAAGCTTTTCATTCTTAAAAGGCACGATTATTGATGCCAAATTTTGAAATTTCATCATTGACATTTATTGTAATTTTTTAAATAATGTGTCTTAGATTTCAGATAGAAGTTGAGACAAGACCGATTTTGTAGGCTGAAATGCTAGTAGGCTTGAGCTGTTGCTAGCAGATTTTATCAGCTGTATGGATATACAGACATATATATGTCATGGATAGGCTAATAAGTTTGGCTGGGTTTGTTGGAGTGTTAAATTGTTGGTGCTAATGTTAGCCTGCACTCTAACATAAGTACAGACTGCTGTCACACAATACCCTTTTTAATGACAAACTGTAACACTTGGTTACTACTGTAGGTGGTAAACTAGTGAGCTTAATATTTGCAGCAGACAATACAACTATCAATTCACAGTAAAATAGATAAACGAAAGAGTGAATGAGAAAATTAGATTAGAGATATAGCAAACGATATTACAGAATATGTCCATAATACACGTGTGACTTGTCGTATACATTTTGCCCTACTCTGTCACATGAGGAAATAGAAAACAGCCCTGTGTCTGATAATCTCATTTCAAAATACTGCTAAGTGTGCAGTGTCTTACAAAACGTATCACACATGATGTTCTGATCATGGTTTCCTGCATTCCTAACCAATGATAACAACTCTTTTTATCATCATTTAGTAGATGAACATATTTTATTCTTGAAAGACACATGAAAAATGCTCTACACTGCTGCTTAGTGCCAAATTTGAAGACACTTTTATGGCTCTATATATCTCTACAGTCCTCCTCCCTTGTGTTTCAGGGATAGAATTAGGTGCTCTGTATAATCTATGATTACTTGGAGCATTGAGCAGACGTGCAGTTTTAAAAGGAGAATGGAAACATTTCCATAATATAGCAATCTCCCTTCTGTCCATCATTCCATCTGGATCACATGCTGATGACTGGTTTTCCCATACTGAAATAGACTAAACTGCTGTCAACTTACAGGATTATTCTTTAAAAATTTTTATTGGAGTTAGGATCTACCACTTCCTCTTGTGCAATGATCACAAAGGACACGTCAATGAGGACATTACATGCAACATGTACATAATTTATTTCAATACAAATGTTACAGCATATACATTTGCTTTTTCATAAATACCACAGGACACCACATATTGTAACAGGCTTCATTACCTTAACAGTGACAAAAACTTGTGCGAAAAATAGCTTGCAAACATTTAGTAAACATTCAGCTGAGTGACAGCTTTTTTCACTCTGGCCATGAAAAAAGGTTCACATATAATAGGTTTACTTCTCATATGACGGCGAAAGCAATATTTAAGTTTCATCAAAAATTCACATTCACATACATCAATTTATCAGAACAGTCCGCCTTCAGTGACATCCGTGCTGACCAATCATTTCATTTTTAGTCGCAAACAGGAAAGAGGACTTCCACAATAATATTATGGTACAAGAGAATAGGCGTAACTCTCTAGCCATTCATTGTTTATAGTTCATGAACGCAAACGTGGACTCAATTGTTCAAAGATTCTACAAATGTTCCATGAAAGTGCTACGTATATAGTGCTGCTTTAGGTTAATCATGGGGTGCTGTTTTCGGTGTGCGATGTTACTTTTATTAAATAGGAACAATAATGGATCAATGAGGACAGCATTAGAATTAGCCCACCTGAGCATTCATTATGTAAAAATGTGTCAATCCATGACACCGATTATATTTTCTTACACTAAAAGTGTATGTGCCACGTTGAATTATATCCTCTAAGACTTGTCTTAAACCCAGAATCCACCTTTAAAAGAACCTTTTATCTTTGCAGAGTTGGTATAACCTCACCCTGTGGATAAGATGGGTACTCTAGAGCCAAACTTTGGTGGCTGAACTGAATGTTCATTGTCTGCATCAGTAGACGTGGTTTATGGTTCCAAACCATCAGCTTTACTCGGAATGTTTGTAGTGTCAGTTAATCATTCAGGAGTCATTACACATAATTGTGTTGTGTCCTCCAGCATGAGGAGGTGAAGACATGAATTACATTCCTTATTATACAAGCGTATTGATGAAACAGTATCTATCAATAACTCTGAGACAGCTGAGGTGCAAGGAGAGGCCACTGCCAGGAGGGTGCAGTGTGGATATATAGTTCACAACCTACTCCACTAAAACAGATCACTTTGAAAGGAAATGTTACCACAGTCCACAAATACATCACCACAAATATATAGCAGACATGCAGACAATTATTTGTGAAGTGCTTCTAAAAATGTGTTAGATACAGACCTTTTTTGATCCAGCTGCAATTCATTTATTTGACGACAATTAATTGCGAGTGAATAAATACAATAGTCATTTATCAAAATCTTGGTCTAGGATCTTTATCTGCTTTGTGCTTTGTGCATGCTGTACAGTGAAAATGTTGAAAAAAAAAAAAAAACCCTGGAGAACATTTGTTATGACATTCAACCCCTGCATTTACTTTGCTGCAAATCCATGAAAAAGAAAAACAGAAAAAAAAATCCACATACTGGAAAGCTTGTTTTTCACATGGCAAACATTGACGTATGATGACACCGTAGTTACGTCTATTCCTAAGTTCTGTGACAGCAGTGCTGACCAAACCTAGCGATACAGTACATAGAGATTCCTCTGAGGGAACAAAGTTCACAGTTTTGACGGTGTCAGCTGACCGTACTCCAGAGGCAACGCTACATGCACTAAAACACAGGTCACTAACACCGATATAGACTGGCAGAGAATCCCTACTCCCCCTCCTGTCTTCAGTAGCCACATTTAGCATGCTGTCATTTTGATCAGAACATACTAGAGACAGCCAAACTGACTGGAAAAAGGGGGTTACATCTGCAGCAACACGTCCATTACTCCTCCTCTTGAGAGTAATGAAGCCATTTAGCAAGGGAAAAGTGTATACATTCTCCTATTCAAGCCCTGCACGCTAAGTGTTCATCTCCATTAATGCTTGTTTAAGTAAAAAAAAAATTACATTCCCAAGAGCCAAGAGTCTCATTTCAGGTTGGGATATCGGATCTCATCACAACCTGCAAATTGGGAACTGTATACTTTATAATCTACTAATCTATTTCAGTGTTGTTTTTAAGGGGGAGTTATCTGATTCTCCAGCAAACAGCGGAGATAATGGATTTATTCGTGTTTATTGGGCCGGGCTCAGCTGGATTGGGGCATTTCCTGGAGACTACACACCAAGTAGACTACACACCAAACACCAAAGGGACTGAAACAACTGTAACAGCTGAGGCACTGCTCAGTGGAGTGTCTTATCCAAATGTTCGACTGATTTTTTGACTGATGATTGAGACATGCATTTACTGTGAGGAGAAATGTCAGAGAGCGGTGACAAAGATGCACTGCTCAGGACATCTCCTCATCCCTGTTCATTGGTCTGACTAGTTACACCCATGTCTCGGGCCTGGGACTTTGTTATCACTTGGCTATTTTGACGCACTGTTTGTTATTGTGTGTAGTTTGTACCCTTGTGCCATGACTAAGGAAACAGCTTCTCTGGTTTCAGTAAACACATGCGCAAACACAGCAACCACAACATTTGGGAAACAAACAGGGCTTGTGCAACAAAAAGGACAAGTGTTACAGTAGCTACCAACACATAGAGGGGACAAGAGACTGCATTATAGTTACATAATGGCAATACTGTATAATGTACCAAATACTGATCTATATGTTGCACAAATGAACCTATGGACTGAATGCAAGATATGACTTGCAGGATGTGCAGTAGCAAACTGCAAATTTCATTTTAATTTATTGAATAACAGCTGCAAGCTTTAAAGGTCAATGTCCAGGATTAACCACATTAACCATAATGCCATCTGCTTTGCACAGAAAGAAATTAGATACCTTCAGGGCTGATACTGGAATTTGGCAGATACAACATATACAAACTTGAAAGTTTTATCATATGACTAACAGAGGATGGCCCCAGGCGTTTCTCAGCTTGCACCAATGAGATGTAGATAAATTCATATCTCTGGTGCTATCTGCTGGCAACTGAAACTCCCATGCAACAGGCTGTAAAACACTAGAGCAGGGAGCAGGGCCTCACAACATTGCTGAGCAGTGAGAGAGAGAGAGAGAGGTTCTGTCACACATGTTGTTGATCATCTTTCACACCCAGACAGCCCATCAAAAAAATGGAAACGAAATGAAGCCAAATTATAATTTTGCTTTTTGGAATGTATTTCTTCAAACAAAGCACCAAAGAGGCATTAAGTTCGATAGTTCCACACTTATTGTCCTTTTTCAGATGAAAATAAGGACTCAGTATCCATGCCGAATTGGCAATGGAATCCAACAACATTAATGTGAATTTCAGAAACAAATGTATGCTTTGTGAGATCTTTTGCCAAGAACTCTGAGATAAAAAAACATGCCCACGAATTGGAGCCAGATAATTACAAATTATAGAATGCACAGACCATTTGGTAGAGTAAATATACAGCTGAGATACTGCCCTAGAGTACCTCCTGTGGACAGTGAGTTAATGTGAACTAGTTCTGATAGTCGTTCAAGAAACAAATATTGAAAAAGATGTGATGAGGTAGATGGAAATTAAACATAAATGTAACAAAAGGACGAGTGATCTACCTACAGTATTTTATTATATGTGTTGAAAGAGGAGAAATATTTTCCTCAGCTGAACATGATTAAGTTTTTAAGCAGTCTCCAGAGACTTTACCAGTCAGTTTGACTGGTCTTACCTTCATTAGTCAACTGGAAAAAGTTTATGATAGCAGTGTAAACATGTCGGGTTCGCCCTGTTGACAGAAGTCTCAGGGATCTTAGTTTAAAGGACAGTTGTTACAGTTTTTAGGCCTTTGCTGCAATTCCCATTGGGATCCACTGCTTTGTCCACAACACGGCAGATCCCCGTTCCCTTCCCCAGACACCCTTCATTGCCCTCACTGTCTTCCGAGCTGCCCTTACTCCTCCCTTGCTGCTCGCTCTGCCAGCTATGCCTGCTGTAGATGTATCCATTCACGGGCCCCGGGTTGCTGAGGCGGTTCCTTTTCATGCAGAGGATTTCCTTGAAGGCATACCTGAACTCAGGACTCCGACAGTATATTAGTGGGTTGAAGGCAGAGTTTGCGTAACCTATCCAGTTGAGTATCCTGAAGGTGAGGTCATTGTGCTGCTCCTTCCATATGGCCACCACCACATTGAGCAGAAAGAAGGGCAGCCAGCACAGAGTGAAGATCCCCATGATGATGCCCAGTGTCTTTAGGGCTTTGTGTTCCCGCAGACAAAACTTGGCCTTCTTTTGGCCACGCCCATTGTTGGCCTCCAGAGATTTGAGGTTGCTGTTGTCGCTGTTATGGAAACGTCCAACGCTTTGGTCAATCTTCTTCAGTTGGCGCTTGGCCTCCTGGAAAACGCGGCTGTAGACAAAAACCATGATGACCAAAGGGATGTAGAAGGAGATGATAGATGAGGTGATGGCGTAAGCCATATTGGTGTAGAATTCGCAGCAGTTACTGTCCGCAATGCACCTCTGAGCTTCCTCATCATCTGATATCCACCACTTCATGTGGATGGGCAAGAAAGATATCAAGGCGGCAATCACCCACACCAGCACAACCACAATGCGAGCTCTGCACTTGGTCAACATCGACTGGTAGCGGAACGGAGAAGTGATGGCCAAATAACGATCTATAGCTATGACACACAGGGTCTCGATGCTTGCAGTCACACAGAGCACATCAGTCGCAGTCCAGAACTCACACCAGAAACTACCAAAGTGCCATGTCTTAAATATGATGTAACAGGCACCAAAAGGAACCACAATGAGACCCATGACCAGGTCAGCACAGGCCAGGGATGTGATAAAACAGTTGGTAACATTTTGGAGACGCTGGAAGCGAGCGATTGCTGTTATGACCAGGATGTTGCCAAAAACAATGGACAACACGAGTAAGGACATAATCATGCCCAGCAGGATCATTGTTGCCTCACTGTAACTCTCCTCTTGCTTAGCTGGGTCTGATGTGGTGACCATCTTTGTACTCACATTGAGGTACCCTGGGGGGGTTGTACTTCCCATCTAGACACCACATGTGGATAACATACACAGAGACACACACACACACACACACACACACACGGAGGTGAAGATCACAATTAAAAACTCTATATAGTTACTATTAGTTACTATTACACAATTAAAAGTGGATAAAAAACTAAAACTGTTCATAGAAATTATATGCATATAAAACTAGTACTAACAAATGTGCCTTCATGTCTGTTTTATTTTCAGAAAAGAAAAAAGGAGAACAAAAATTACAGCTGCAACACCACAAAACAAATTCATCACATCCTGTAAGGTTTCAGCAAGCACAGCTTATAGTAAATGCTAAACAAGCCAACAAAAAATAAAAGTACAAACCTCCACAGGTAGCTGTCTTGTTTCCTGCCTCCCATACAAAGTAGAAATATCACTGTTCAGGTAGTTCCTGCAAAGTATTCCCTGTCACATGTCCTTCTTTGTACTGTCTGGTTTTTTTTTAAATCTCCGTGTGTCTCACTCACTCAGTCCCTTAGCTGAGCAGTGTTTCTTCTAATGTGTCTCCCAGGCTATTTGTCAGAGCCCTTATAACGTGCAGTGATGACATCATGGTCAGTGCTCAGCCAATCAGACAGCCAGCCTGTGGAGGGTGCTGAGAGCTCCTATGAGTTTGAACACATTGTCCCTGCAGCCGTTTCTGCAGGGCTGCATGAGAGCAAAGCTGCAAGCACAAGCAAAGACTTTTTCTGACTTTTAGATTAGTTAGCTTTACATGTAAAAGTCCTCCAAATACACACTAATTTAGAATGCAAGGATCATGTTCAAAGTTGCAATAAAACATTTAGTCCAGCAGTAGAGAACAGACTTTGCCTGTTAGTCTGGAGGAAATCAAAAACGTGAAGCTTTCTTCTACTTGATAAAGTGAGGAGAAAGTTAAACCAACTTCAGTGTATAATCTATGATTTATTGGGAGGTCGGACTTTTACTGCTCCCCTGGTTGTGATGAAACCTTGGCGTGTGTTAGTGTGATAAGCTTTTCCTGCCATGCTGTTTAACATAAAAATGTAGACTACAGCATACACTAAAAATTGAGAGTGACTGAGTCCTTGAAGATACATCAAATCAAAAACATTTGTGCTTAAATAATGCTACAATGATAACTATCTAAGGTTAACCTACAGAAAATTCCCTTTCTGCACCCGCTGCCCTGACAGTGTACCCTGCAGGAGAAGAACAAACTCTCATGCTATACCACATAAAAATAGTTTGTTTGTAGTATTCAGGACAAATTTGCATTTATGTAAAGCTTTTGTATTAGTCTATGCAAATATTTTAACAGTTAGCTATTCATTAGAAGGCCTCTGTTTAAAATGTATATGAAATATTATTGTGAGACAGAATTAACTGTTCTATCTCTGTATTAGATAAACAAACATAGAGCTCTGTGTTGGAACCAAATTGCTGTCAGTGACAGATGAAAAAGCCAGAGGGCTGTACAGATCAGCTACTGCGGGGTGTAAATTTTTTTTTTTCTCTGCTCCTGTTTGTGCCTTAGCCCTGCTTGCACTGAGTAAGCACTATGCACCAACACTAAATAACTATCACTATGAGAATGTATAGACATAGGTTTTTGTATACAAGCATAAGCTGAGTATGTACTTAAATAGTTAGCAAGTTAAGACGCACATCATCCTATTTAAAGTGAGAGCCCTAATAACTTCCAGACCATTTGGACTGGGGAAGCACTAGAGGGCTAATCTAAGATTGCACATCGCACACAAAAAGATAAATTCTCTGAATGAATGTTTTAAAGGCACACAAGACGTAGAAGACAACAAGATAGGTGTTTCCTGGGTTCTGACACCACATAACTCTCCAAAATCTGACAGGAATATGCTGTTAATGGAGACTTTTTAATTCATATTTACTGCATTTGTCTTGTCATGTGCTCAACTGTCTTGCTGGCTGCTTCAGGATTTAGTCCCTGTCACATGAACACTATATTACTGCAGTAAAAGGATCAATGCTCTTTCAGACATCTCTCATCAATAGATGAACGCATTTTTTCCAGCTCTTCTTGTTGTGTAATGATTTTGGTGGAGTTCTCTTTGATAAAAGTCACGAGTTGAGGCAATTTAGTTAGTAATACAGTACAGTGGGAGGTCAGGCTGGGTTTGTGAATAATATAACCATTATAATAGAGCATAGCTTATAAACAGGCCTTTGAGATAAGTAGGTGTGTTTAGTTCTCTAAGGGTGCTCACAAGTGTGTTTGTGTGTGTCCAGGTCTGTGCTAACCTCACTGAAGGAAGTGGTGATAGTTTCCAGAGCTCTGACCTTCAACGACTGTTGACGCCACAGGCACAGTGTTTCATCCATGCACTGTACATCACAATGAGCTCTCTCACAAAAGTCTATATGACTAATGACGCAACAACAGATCCAACCAGTATATCCACATGTTTGGATCTCATTCATGCACATGCTGTATATCTGCTTTTTATCATACAACAATTTAGACTCATGCTTGCTGCTGTGATTTATCATGTTACTTTTGGGCATGCACTAGGTGACTTTTATATAAAACTAACTTTTTGCCATATTTGATTAAACTTTCACTATATTCTGACAGTAATACATGAGACAAATAATCTGAAAACAATATGTTCCACTGGCTCGTTCTAGTGCTCCTAATGGCATTTGCAAGAATCCACAGCGCCTGAATGAAAACAACCAATCAGAGCCGAGAAAGATGGTAGTAGGCACATTAATACTCCCAGTTGAATCAATTCACATGATTTTGTGACCCCCATGGCCTTATCTCTTGGACAAACCCAATATGTTCAGCCTCACTCCTGATAAGGCTCTAAGAATAGAAAAAAATGGTCAGTATGTTGTCTGCAGCCCCACAGTATGGATTGTTGGGTATAATGAACATGCAAACCCAAAGAGATAGGCCCCTGGGCTCAGTTGTACTTAACAACCCCTCCCACTACTTACAAAACAAGATTTTAATTATCCCCAGCCTGACATGGACCCTCCTTTTATTTCTCCACAGTGGTGAGTGTGTGAACTCCATTATATTGGATACATGGAATAAAGTCCACTACTGTACTAAACGTTGCACTGCTTTTCTCTGGCTTAGAGCTATACCCTAAATATACAGTGAATGTAATATCTGTTCAGTGCCCTGTTTTGGAAAGCGGGAGTCTGCATGTTCGATTAATCATGACTGTTTCCTCAGTTTGTGACATCTGTCTTCCTGTATCCTGTCACTCCCTGCCTGATCCAGTTCACATTTGGATAACCCTCAAACTGTCTTGGATCCTGTCCGCAGTTAGACATTATACACCACTCTGTTTAGTCAAACACTGTTAACATAAATCTATCTTCCCTCCACACCATCTCCTCTTTGATTCCCACGTTTCTTCTTCATAGAAAGTTGTGATGTTGACCTAATGACCCAAACTGCACTTCCCACCTCCCCCTACTATATTTTTCCTGTAATCTGTGAGGAACAATACCTGGAGATATTGTTCCTCTAGGGGAAGGTTTCAGGAGGAAATGAGAGAGTCTCAACACTCTCTCTCTCTTGTTCTCTTAAATGTCAAATTACTTTACTGGTATTACATTTGCAACACAGCCACATGTTTGTAAAAATAAACACAACCAAGTTTCTTGCTGAGAGTTAGATGAGAAGATTGTTGTGTCAAACTTCTCACCTAACCCGACAAGAAACTGAATAAGAGTTTTTCTCAAACTGTTGAACAATTCATATGAATATCAACCACCATCAAAACATGTATGTTAGGTTAGATTCTCCAGTCAGTGCCCTTGATCAAGGCACTTGCTCAGATCTGGAGTTGGTCCCCAGGCGTTGTACACTGGCTACCCACTGTTACTAGTAATTAAGATGGGTTAAAAGCTGAGGACAAACTTAACTATGTGTTGTACTGTGTATGGCTTTGTATGTAATAATAAAGTTGATTCTTTCAAATTCTATTAAATTCTAACACAGTAAAATCAATATCAATATGAACACTGATCCGACTTTTTAACAGTAGAGCATTTTCTGCCTAGTCTACGTGATTAGATTTTAAAATCTGTGTATTTAAAGTAAGTGCAAACTGTACTTTTCTCTCTGTTACACCCAACAGGAAACACACACATTCACACACACACACACACACACACACATTCAAACACACATTCAAACTGTTAACAATTGGTGCATGTTTCATAAGCCACAATGAAACAAGAGACACAAATGAATGAAAACATCATCAAATAAATTCCAAATTGAATTTGATGATGCAGGAAAAAAGTATTTTTTCTCCTGAATGTGCAGTCATGTCTAATCCATTCAATCTCCTAATCAAGGAATTTATGTCCAAGCCAATCATATCCTTATTTAACTCTGGAACAAAGACATTCCCCTTAGGATTAATCCAGAGCCTGAACCACTAATTGGTTCCATGGTAAAGGCCCCTAGGGGACTGTGGGTGAGGTCCACCCAAAAACAAATGGGTGTATGTCCATCAAAGACCATAAATCCTACACTGTTCGCACTGCCATGCAATTACAGAGGCAGAGTGTATTCTTGTTGCAAGTGTAAAGTATCCAAGTTTGTGTGGTTCAGATAAACAGTAGGACTAAACTATTTCGTATATTTCGAACGGATCAAACCAAATATAGACTAAGCAGCTACTGACCGGGTCTACGAGTCACTGTTCATTCAGTTTTACCCTATTAAAGTTCAGAGGGAGGAAGAGGTTGTAAAAACACTTTATTGTACTATTCAACAACTTCTGGGCTGTGGCCTCCAGACGGAGCTCAACATATACAAAAGATCTGTCATGGGGGTCTGATCAACGTAACACATACAGTACAGTATATAACACAGGATGCTGTCGTATTTTAGCGTGCGAACATAACACATCACACTGTTTTCGAATGTTTTTGAGGCTTGAGCTTGTTTCAGTCGCACTCTCTTCTTCTCTTACATTTGCCATTAGGAATTTCCCTACATTTCACCATCAAAAAGCAACAAACATTTCCCTACATGGCATTAATGAAAATAATGTCTATGCCACAGTACAGTAAACTCTACATTAACTACTGTAGTCAATGATAGAGGGCAGAATGGCATCCGAAAGTTCCCCTTAGCAGAAAAATTGTAGGTCTCATGGGAGCCACTTTGTTTGTCTGTCTTATTGATTGTGACACACAAAGGGAAAATATCACAGGAGGTTAGACTTATTATTATTACACTTGTAGGGGGATTGACCCAATGACTAGTTCGGTTAACAAGAACTTCCTGTTGGAAGACACAGATTATGCCATAACTCTGGGACTTAATGCAAGATTTATAGTGTGAATTATGCAGTCCGGGCTGAATTATTCCCTTTGTTTAACCCTATAGGGAGAAGAGTAATGCAATACTGTCCTTGTGTGGATTTAATTAGTGTGTACGAATCTGTACCATTCACCAGAAAAGTCCCTGTAGACCTAGTCAGCACAGAGGGGAATTATAATCCATCTTTGTTTAAAAAAACACC